TAAAGTAGTTTTTTCCAATTCTGTGAAGAAAGTCAGTGGTAGCTTCATGGGGATAGCATTGAATCTATAAATTACTTTGGGCAGTATAGCCATTTTCATGATATTGATTCTTCCTATCCATGAGTGTGGAATATTTTTCCATTTGTTTGTGTCCTCTCTTATTTCCTTGAGCAGTGGATTGTAGTTCTCCTTGAAGAGGTCCTTTTTGGATGAATGTGTGTTGTAGAATTTATTGCATGACACTTGTTTATAACCAAATGTCCTGTTTCTTCATGCAGTATTTTAATATGCCACGTTACATAGTCATTAAACAAGGTTTTGACATTTTGTATCATATAATACTTCATGACAGCATTTCCCAGTATGTGTTCCATAGGGCACCAGGTCTTCTAGATGTGCCATAATGTAGAGATCCAATAATTTTGACAAATACTGTGCTTTGAATTGAACAAACAATACTTTCATATCAAAATTTGAGAAATCCTGCAGTAAAGCAACCTTTTTAATGTATTGTTTCCAACATTCTTTGATTAGGAGACCCTTTTGCTCAGTAATGTCTTTTAGGTTCCAGGAGAAAACACTTCCTATTTTAGTGCCACTAAAACCAGAATTCTTTTTTTTTTTTGAGACGGAGTCTCCCTCTATTGCCCAGGCTGGAGTGTAGTGGTGCGATCTTGGCTCACTACATGCTAAAACCGGAATTCTTTATGAGCAGATATATAGTAGACATATAATAGAATTTGTCCTGTCTTCTGAATACTGTAGAGCCCCAGGGCTCTGCTATTGAAGGGGAAAATCTGCAGTATATTCTCTTTGCTAGAGGTAAACTTGATTCTGAACTGAAGACTGGTGGCCTAGATGGTTTGAAGGCTTGTTATCCTAAAATGTGTATTTCTTATGTATTCATTATTTTCCAGACCAATGAAAGGGCAAACCTGGTTTGATCATGTGGACATGTCAACATGATTAAAAGATTATTTGGCAAGAAATGAAGGGTTTTGGGGAGAATTTTAGAACTTATAGAATTTTGCAACTACTTAGGCTCCATTATTTCCAATTCTGGAAAATTTTTAAGTTCTCAAATTGCTTTACTGAGACAATTCTATATAGTGGTACAATTGCTATATATTACATTTTGGAAAGGAAATTTAGGACTGAAAATGTTTTACTTGTGGAATTAATTTTATCCTCTTTTTATAAGTGATTATTTAAGAAATGCTGTGGGAAGATTTTTACTGTGATACAGTATTGTTAAAAATGAACATAGCACAGAGATGTTGGATGCCACAGGTCCTTTAAGGATAGAAGGGTCAGGACTTGACAGTTATTTTGATATTAAAATTAAGCATCAAGATACAACAAAGATGAGGCTGAAGTGTTCAACCTGAATGGTAAGATAAACTTCCTTAAAGCTTGTGCTGATCTGCTACATCGAGTTATTGCATGCAATCAGCAATCTAGTACTTTTTGTCTCAGGATATGTTTTAGGAGCAGTAGTAGCACTTTTAGTCCAGATTGATATGGTGAGTACTAATTTATCCCATATTATTGAAGCACAGAGACTATGAACTACACATAATATAAGTTACACAGAAGCTGGGAATCACTGGCAAATGTAATCCATAGTAGTAATTGGTAGGCAAAGATATCTACAAATGGGCAAGTTGTGGCATGTGATTATGATATGTATTGACCTTGTAAGTCAATGTGAGATAATTGAGTAAACAGTGTTTAAGTTAAATTTGTATCTTTAATGAGACCTACTAAAAGCAAGGAATAATCTTTAAGTGGCCAATTTAATGAGAAGAAATAATCTGAAGTTGGCAAAGCCTTTAAAATATTGTTCAGCTGGATAAAATATGTGAAACTGTTTTATACTGAAAAATATTGAATTTAGAAGCATTATTAGAGTATCTCATATTCATAAACTATGTTTTGAATTTCCTGCTTATTTTTAAGTTTCTCACATCTTTTCAGTAGGTGAAATCTGTCATTGTAAAACACACACCAAATAAAACTAGTGTCATTATATAATTATTACACAGGATATATCTAGCAGCTGTGTAGAAGAGGGAGTATTCCTCTTACATAATAAATTATTTCTAGAATAATTTTATCAAAAGTGTCACTTTACCATTCTATAACAAACTTTATTTTACCTAACAAATTTGGGGTTTATCTGGGGGGGGGGGTGTGTGTGTGTGTGTGTGCGTGTTTAATCACAGCAGTACATTTTGCTTTAAAAGCAGAAATAAGAATTTTTCTCTAAACTTGGGACATTGCATTCCTAGAGATACTAACATTAAGAACTAAGAATATTTTAGGATTTGTAGCACATTTACAAAGGAAAAGTCAACATCTATAATAAAAAGTGATATAAATAAAAATTATTTTTTACTTAATACTGATTTTCACTCTATTGGACCTTTTTCTTTCTTTCTTTTTTTTTTTTTTTTTTTTTTTGAGACGGAGTCTTGCTCTGTCGCCCAGGCTGGAGTGCAGTGGCGCAATCTCGGCTCACTGCAAGCTCCGTCTCCCGGGTTCACGCCATTCTCCTGCCTCAGCCTCCTGAGTAGCTGGGACTACAGGCGTCCGCTACCACGCCCGGCTAAGAGACGGAGTTTCACCGTGGTCTCGATCTCCTGACCTTGTGATCCGCCCGCCTCGGCCTCCCAAAGTGCTGGGATTACAGGCGTGAGCCACCGCGCCCGGCCTTTCTTTCTTGTTAATAACTTTTTCTTTTGGTGAGTGTTTAATTGAAGAGCAACTTTAAGAAATGACCAATGGCATTCTATTTTGTGTTTTGGTCAAAGTAAATTAATGGTCATATATTTGAAATGGTTATCTACTTACTCTCGCTGGCTTCTAATGGTACTCTAGGGCATTTATCACAATCCCATAAAAATGTGGGTAGCTTTATCTCTTCCAAGAATTTTAGTCATTCTTTTGTCATTTTGAATTTGTTGGTAATCCATGAAGAATATGATTCATTAAGTGTGGAAATCTTTGGTAAATTCATATTCATCACATTTTTATTATTTCTAAGGATTCCAGAAACCAACCAACCTAATTTTTGTTTTTGCTTTGTAATAAATGAAGATCTTTCAAGAGCATATGGCCTTTATCATACATACAAAAAGTAAACAGTTCCCTTTGGATGTGCGCATTCCACAGACATCTAATACTGTTATATTGCATTGTAATAGAAACTAAATGAGCTCTAAAGGAAATAGAAAATATAATTCTTGGCCTCTATGAATAGGGGGGAAAAGACTTCCCTTGATAAAATGCTCAAAAAACTATGCCAAGAAAATGTATTCATGCATGTATGCAATGAATAAATATTAAGTATCAACTATGGGCCCAGCCCTTATTTTAGAAACTGGGAGATCACCATTGAACAAAACTGAAATCCTGGCCTTTATGGGAGCATGTGCTAGTGTGGTTGACAGACAAACTAAAAAACAAGATAAGTGAAATAGATATCCAATATGTTGGATAGTAACAAGTGCCATGGAGAAAAATAAAGCAGAGAAAGTGGGTAGAGAGTGTTAGGGCATTGCAGTTTTAAATAATGTTGTCAGCAAAAGCTTAGCAGAGCAGAAGATGCTTGAATGAAAACTTGAAAGTGATGAGGAATTGAGTCATTAAAATATCTGTGGAAAGAGTATTTAGGCAAAGGAATAACACAGAAGTGCGTAGATCAGTGGATGGGGGCATGCCCAGTGTGTTTAAAGAGCAGCAAGGAAGCAAAGTGGAGCTAAAGAAGAATAAAGGAGATGAAGGGAGGCTGGTAGAGTAATCCACACAAGAGATTATAGTAGCTCACAGCGTTATGGTAGCAATAGAGTAGGTAAGAAATCAGGATTTGTTGACAGCGAGATATAGGCTATTAAAAAGAGGGGAATCAGGATTTTTTGGTTTGTTAAGTGGGAGAATCATATTTTTCCAAGTTTATTAACTCGTGTTTAGTTATTAAAACTTATGTATTGTTTTAAGCCTTTTTTATTGTGGTAAAATATATATGTAAGATTTGCCATGTAGCCATTTTTAAGTATTCAGTTCAGTGGCATTAAATACATTTTGAAATTCAGTTTTGTATGTAAAAATGTTCTCTCAGCCAGGCATGATGGCTCACACCTATAATCCAGCACTTTGGAATGGTAAGGCAGGAGCATCACTTGAACTCAGGAGTTTGAAATCAGCTGGGCAACATAGGGAGACCCTGTGTCTACAAAAACTAAACAGTTAACCTGGCATGGTGGCGTGTGCCTGTGATTCTAGCCACTCAGGAAGCTGAGGTGGGAGGATCCCTTATGCCCAGAAGGTTGAGGCTGCAGTGAGCTGTGATTGTGCCACTGCCCTCCAGCCTGGGCAACAGAGCAAGACCTTGTTTCAAAAACAAAAACAAAGTTCACTTTTCTCAAAATATCAGCATTGTCGCTTATGAACAAAAGCAATTTGGAGCCGATTGTGCTTTACTGCCAAGAGCATTGAGCACCAAGCATTCTGCAAGCCTTAGAATCCTTGTTTGAGAGATTGAGACAAGTAGAAAAACCAAAATGAAAATTAGCATCGTATTTCCAAAACAGATCTTCTTCTTTTGAAAACTGACTTTTCATTTAAATATCATTTTTTAACTTTTCATCTAAGTGAGTATAATTTTAAATTGTTTGGGTCACTATTTAAAATAATTTGAACATGTCTTATTTGCCTTTGATTCACTCAGAAAGGAAATGCTCAAATACAGTTGTGTTATATTTCCAGAGCTTAAGGAGCTTTTCAAGAATGTAATAAGTATTCCCTGCTTCATAATTTGTCTACTTTACTTTTAGATTGCTCTTAAAGTCTATTCTTTATTTGTAGTTTGATTTTTTAAATTATATTTTATAATTAATTTTGAATTTGTATAAGTTATGTTTAAGGTGATGTTCATCTTTTGTGAATTATGAGTCTAGGAAATCCCTTCTGTTTGTTGATTTCAGTGTCTCTTTTTCTAGGGAACAAAGAAGGAAGAGATTGAAGGTGAAGCAGAAGTGTCTGGTTTAATTCAGCCTGCAGAAGTGTTTGCTCCCAAAAGCCTGGTGTTGGTATCCAGATTATATTATCCAGAAATTTTTAGGGTAAAGAACACATAGTTATTATTAATTTGTATTATTGTATGAGTCTCTTGAGTGAACCATGGTACAAGTTGTTGGGATTGAAAATATTGTTAGATTGATTTAGGAATTCATCTATGAAATACAGTTAGCATGAACAGAAGAAATATTTTCATGTTGGATGAAATAAATACCTGAATAAGTTAATGTGACTACTAAAACTTCTAAGGATAGGTCCCACATTTATTAAATCCAGAATGTATACATCCTAAAGAAATAATTTGATTACCTATAGTAAATGTAAATGCATGAGTGATTTAACAACTTTATGTATGTTTATTCACCTTACGTGGAATCAGGTTTAAGTAAATAGGATGAATGTTTGAGATTTCAAATAATTCTGATCATATTTCTGTCAAAATACCTTAAAATATTGCTTCCAGTTATTTTCTTATTTTAGAAACACAGAATTTTCAAACATAAGAGGAAATTTTTATTCATTTGTAAATGTTCGTGCTAACATAAAATTTCTGTAAAACTTTTCCAGAAATTGAGATTATTTATGTTAAGAAAGAATTAATTTAGTGCCAAGATTTCAATGACAATGGGTAACTCCAAGCAAATACTAAGTTTTCAAAGTCACAAATTTCGCTATACTGAAAGAGATTCATAAAGATTGCATTATGTCTGTTTTACCACCTACCTTCTTCTGAACTCAGTGTTAATCTTACAATCTTGTCTCTGTTTTGCAATCCTTTCTTACAATTCACATGTTACATTTTTCTGTAGAATAAGCATTCCAGATTTATAAGAACCACCAAACAAGATAAAAGTTCTAAGTTTCTATCTTGAGATTTGGAGTTTAACAAACTAAGTTGAGGCAAAAACAATATTAGCGCTACAGACTTGCTAAAGTAGTTATCAGAGCACAAACATCTGTTTTACAAATTGTGGATTTCTGCTTTCCATAAACTCATCTCAGAAGCTCATTTGGAGGTTCTGGTTCTAAGGAAAATTTAATAAACTTAATTTTTGCTGTTTAAAATGTATTCCATGTTCACTGTATAATATACTTTACTAGGTTCAAAGAGAAATTGTCCTAGAACAGATGTCATAACAATTTATTTTTAATGCTTTTTCCATGAAATAATTACATGTATCTATCTTTTTGCAGGCTTGCCTGGGTTTGATCTATACCGTGTATGTGGATAGCCTGAATGTCTCCTTGGAAAGTCTAATTGCTAACCTTTGTGCCTGCCTTGTCCCAGCGGCTGGAGGGTCTCAGGTAAATAGAATAGAAAGAGGGGTGGAGAAGGATTGTTTCTCTTCCCCTCTCCTCCAGTTAATTTAATTTATGGTGAAAGAAAGAATTCTTTAAATATTTTTGTTTTAGGGAAGATCCTAGTTTAGTTAAGCATTGTCCCCATGGTCTGCCTTCTAGACACTCAAGATTCCATTCTTTTCTTAGGTCATGAGGTTAATTTTAACACAGGGTTCGTCTTTCACATAGCATAATTAGAAGTCATATTTCGTGTAACTTGAACTGCAGTTTGTATTTTCTTGGAAATATATTAAGTTGAACTTTTAAATGTGCTCTTTTACCTTTCTTACTCTTGTATATAGTTACACCTGATTTTTATTAACCTAAATTGAAAAATGTTGGAGTGATAAAAATTAGAAGATAATGCTAAGAAAACTCTCAACACAGTTCTTTGTTACACTGTAACTACTTATTAATAGATTCATGTATTCTGTATGTCTTGAGATTTTCATATTTGTCTCTAAAGTAAAATAATAATCTCTGCTGCTATGATTTATTTATTGTTTCTTGGTCAACCACACTTTTAAAAGAATAGATTTTTTCCTTAAACCCTAAAAATGAATAGTTGATAATTTATTTTGCTTATTCTTATATAATATTGGGGAAGAGGACAGCCTTCTAAAAATCACATTGTCTTCAATCTGACAAAGATCCTGCTTATAGTGAGATTGGCATTTCTTTTTCTTGCCCTTCGCCTTTTTACTTCTCTTCTGTCTTTCTCATTGTCTTTTGTCTTAAATTTTTATCCTTTTTTTTCTCTCTCTCTTGCTCTCTCCTCCTTCATTCTTCTACCTCTGCTTAAAGGGCAGAACATTAAATGTGAGTTTGATCACAGATGATTCTAAACTTGAACTGCTTTATGAGCCTTTATTAATGTTGTTGACTTTAACATTTCATTATTTTTTAGCCAGTTATGATTATCAGTGATTTTTGTGTCTTATCTTTACTAGATTTGCAACTTTCAACCACTGAATTTTCTTATGCCACTTAAGTATACAAAGAACTTAAATGTTATGGGGTATCCATTGTTGCCCTTTGTATCTGTTAATTGGATCTTATATGGTTGTTTGCTCTAAAAATGAACATCAAAGATATTTTTATTTTTTAAAAAATGTCTGAAATCGTGTGTGCATGTGTGTGTGTGTGTGTGTTTGTGTGTGTATGTTTCTCCCATTCTGCAGAAGCTGTTTTCTTTGGGTGCAGGAGATAGACAGCTGATCCAGACTCCTTTACATGATAGCCTTCCTGTCACGGGCACTAGTGTGGCTCTCCTGTTCCAGCAATTGGGTATGTCTTTTCTCCCATTTTCAATGTCATCTTGTAGAAACCTGTGATTAAAGGATTTATTTTAAGTTGACATCACCTCACATGAATCAAGAAAATATTTTTTAAACCATTAAATATTTTATATATAGGATATATATAATTTTGTGGGTCGTGATCTTACCTAGTGTTCATTCTTTTTAAAAATTTTAACCCAGACCCCTTTTTTTCTTAGGTCAGTTAGACTTTTAGAAAGTGGATGGGATGAGTGTGGTAGCTCATGCCTGTAATCACAGTACTTTGCAAGGCCGAGGCAGGAGGATTGTTTAAGCCCAGGAATTTGAAACCAACCTGGACAACATAGTGAGATCCCATATCTACAGAAAATTTTTAAAACATTAGCTGGGCATGTTGGTGCACACTGTAATCTCAGCTACTAGGGAGGCTGAGGCAGGTGTATCACTTGAGCCCAAGAATTCAAGACTTCAGTGAGCTGTGATGGTGCCTCTGTACTCTTAACATAGAAAGAAAGAAAGTGGACACATTTTCTTTATGCTAAAAGACGAATAGATGATATATTTAGCATTTCCGTAGATGAACTGCTTTTATAGAAACCTTGTCAGGTGGGACTATGAGTCTCATTCTTCTCATCCCACCATCTATATGAGGACTTTATCCCCAGTTTTTCAGCAATGGCTAGGATGAAAGATTGGGAGGATTCTAGAAAGTGTCTACTGTACATTGGACAGCTTTTACATTATTTAAGAAAAATATAACAAAAATGAGGATGTTTCAAACTAGGGCTGCCCAAAGATTCCCATTTACGTTACCTCTGATTTGTCCTTTATATATCCCTGCCTATGAGTGTCCCACTCTCATTGTTCTCCATCTGTGTTTGTCTTTTCCTAGTTATGCTGAAATCTTCCCTTCCCTAAGGTCCATACCCTGCCTCTTCATGAAATTCTTAATTTCTTGCACAGAAATTCTGCCCTCTTGCTTCCCTCTTGTCTCTTGTTGAATTTTGCTCTTAGTTTTGCTCTGTAACTTACCACCCTTTTCATCAGTGTCCCTGTCCATATTCTTCTGCTTTAACTTCAATCAGTGAAAGTTAAAAAGCCTTAGAGGAAATTAGTATAAATATAAATAGAGTCTTCTAATATCTGAATTAAAATGAATGGTGATCTCAATTTCCAAGTAATTCTTTCCAGCTACATTTGCCTCTTCTCAGGCCAACTCTAAAATAATATTTCCCTTTGGTCAAAGAATATAAAATTTCAATTAGGAGAAATATCAAGATATCTACTATGCAACATGGTGACTACAGTTAATAACAATGTATTATATACTTGAACATCATTAAGAGAGTGGATTTTAAGTGTTCTTACCACAAAAAAAAGTATGTGAAGTAATGCATATGTTAATTAGCTCAATTTAGCCTATTTGCAAAGTGTACGTATTTCAAAACATCACATTGTACACTGTAAATATATAGTTTTTTGTCAATTAGTGCAAGTTTTTACTCATTGAGCAATCATAGTTAAGCCTTAAAATATTTAAAGCTATTTTCTTTAAATTCATTTCATATTAGATATTTAATGCATATCTATTTAATATGAAATCATAATCCCTTCCTGGTGGCATATCTCCAAAGAACATCTTGTTGATTACATTCTCCCTCCACAAACTTTTGGAAATTAAAAAAAATTTTATTTTTGGAGACAGGCTCTTAGTCGTCACCCAGGCTGGAATGCAGTGGCATGAACACAGCTCACTACAGCCTCCAACACCCTGGGCTCAAGCAATCTTCCATCCTTAGCCTCTTGAGTAGCTGGGACGATAGGCATATGCAATCATGCCCAGTTAATTTTTTTAATTTTTTATTTTATAGAGATAGGGTCTTGCCATGTTGCCCAGGCTGTTCTCAAACTCCTGGGCTCAAGCAGTTCTCCTGCTTTGCCCTCCCAAAGTGCTGGGATTATAGGCATGAGCCACTGCACCCAGCCTGGAAGTAAATTTAGTAGATTCATGGACTACCTGCATGCAGCTTGTCCGTGGTCCCTACTAACCATTGACTTAATTGATTTTAGCCAAGCACCATTCACTTGACGTTTTTACTTTAAAAAAAGGTTGCATACCTCTCAAGGGTCAAAGCAGAGATTTACTATGAAGAGGAATAGAAGGATATGACACAAATATTTCACAAATGAAATTATTTCACATTTCCAAATGCTACCATTTTTCGTGAACTTAATGAGTACCTTATAAACCTCTACAGTCTTAGTTTTACAATGAGTTGTGAGTGGGAAGGAGAGGAGAAGGTTGTAACCAGCATTTAGCATCAAGAACCAGGGATATTAAGCATCCTGCAGTTTGTTTGATGTTTAGGTACCAGAAAAAATTTTACCCCCAATACTTTAAAAGAAAAAAAAACTGTAGATAAAGTATACATTTATAAAACCCAGACCTCTCTGCCAGTAATGGTGGCCTGTGTAATTCAGAATAATCCTCTTAACAATGTCAACTTGAAAAGATACACAAATATAAACAACATCTGCTAAACCAGGCACAGTGGCTCATGCCTGTAATCCCAGCACTTTGGGAGGCCAAGGCAGGTGGATCACTTGAGGGCAGGTGTTTGAGACCAGCCTGGCCAACGTGCTGACACCCTGTCTCTACTAAAAATAGAAAAAATTAGCGGAGCATGGTGGCAGGCGCCTGTAGTTCCAGCTACTCAGGAGGCTGAGGCATGAGAATTGCTTGAACCCAGGAGGAGGAGATTGCAGTGAGCCAAGATCATACCACTTCACTCCAGCCTGGGTGACAGAGTGAAACCCTGTCTCAAAATAAACAAATAAAAATAAGATCTGCTTGAAGGCATCAGACCCAGTAAATAATTGACAAACCACAATCCAAGAGAAAATGAAGTGAGCCAAACATTTGGGACCATTTTTTCATAAGGGCACATGTTGATTTTTGAAGAAATGGCTGAGAAGCTGATCAGTACTATTGATATCTTATGGGGAAGAGGGAAAATTGGAATTCAAGTTTTACCAAGGTGGATTTTTTTAATGAAGCTCTCATAATTTGAGTTGAGACCATAAAAGGCCACAGCCTAGGAGTGGGTAAATCAGAAGTAGATTGGTTCCCTTGGGAACTACATTACAGCCTGAAATCATTTCAGTTTCTTGAGTTGGATTAAGGTAATCCTTGATGCTACTGTCTATCCATCTCATAGAAGTAAAAGTATATCCTCTCTGAAACAAGATAACTACATTCTAGACCTCCAATTTGTCTTTAAATTTTTATATACCTGCCCTGTACTCAATCAAAAATAGCCAGAAACGTGAGAATCAAAACTATATGAAAGAAATGCAAAAGAAACCATAGACAATGTGAAGGACCACAGGGACTTTAGCAAATAGAGTTATCAGATGCAGTTATTAAAATAACTATATTTAAAATAGTGAAGGAAATAGTCAAGACTGAGAATTTGGGAGTGACATTAACCAGATAGAGGAATAGGAAATTCCAGTCCTCCCTCCCTGACAGAAACACTGATTTAACAAAGATTTACTGACAAAAATCCCTGCATGACAATTCCAGATTCTAGTTAAGAAATTACAGTACCTCAGACTTGCACAAAGCAGAGAGTAGCAGCATTGAAATGTGTAAATAGAGCAATTTTATGTTACCTGTATCAGCCCCTTCCTCAACTGTCTAAGGCTTGCGGGTACAGGGAGGAGGGAAGAGTGGAGCTTGCATCCCAAATTCTGGCTGTTGAGCAAGCTGCCTAAGGGATTTGTTTCTGTGTTGCCTCATTGGAAGTACAAGCAGGAGCTGACATAGTTTGGATGTCTGGGGTGGCTGAGAACAAAGAACAAAGAAGGGGCTTGGGGAGACACTTGCTGTGACCTACACAGCTTGGTGTGATTGGAAGAAGGCACACAACTTGAGGCTTATCCCTTGGTGAGAAGGGGGAGGAGCATTTTGTGTTGAGACTTCAGAGTGCTTCCCTGAGTACTGGTATAGATGTGAATGAATTAGACCTCTTATTCATGGCTAATAGGAATATAAAATGGTACCACTATCTTGGAACACAGTTTGACTATTATTTTTAAGTTTAAAAATGTTCATGAAAATATTTGTATGTGAATGTTCATAGCCATTTTATTTATGGTAGTGAAAAACTGGAGACAAACTCAATGTCCACCAGTGGTAACGGATAATTGATTATGGAAATGGATAAAACATCTGTGGTATATTCATACGATGCAATACTACTAAGCTATATGAAAAAATGAAAGGCTGATACACGCAACATAGATTAACCTGAAAATAATTATTTTGAATGAAAAATGTCAGAAAAATTATATATCGTATGATTCGGTTTCTCTAAAGTTCTAAAAAATGTAGTCTAATCTATGGCGATGGAAACAGGTCACTGGTTGTTTTGTGGATAGGAAGAGCGAGATTACAAAGGGACATGAGGAAACTTTCTGGATGATATTTGTGTATACAGTCTTGATTGTGGTGATGGTTTTATAAGTATGTACATATGTCAAAACGTATCAGATTCTTAAAAAAAGAAAAACATATATTCCCACCAAAACTTTTACATGAATGTTCATAGCAGCCTTATTTATAAGAGTCAAAAAGTGGAAGCAATCCAAATGTCTTTCAGCTGATGAATGGATAAACAAATTGTGATATATCTGCACAATGGAAAATTATTCAGCCACAAAATGGAATGAAGTATTGATATGTGCTGCAACCTGGGTGAATCTTGAAAACATGCTAAGTAAAAGAAACTAGGCACAAAAACCATATATTCTGTGATTCTGTTTATGTGGAATGTCCAGAATTAGGCAAACACATAGAGGCAAAGCAGATTAGTGATTATGAGGGGCTTGAGGGATGGAGCCATGAGAAATAACTGCCAATGGGTGTGGGGTTTCTTTTGAGGAATGAAATTCTTCTACAATTGGATACTAATGGTGCTTGTGCAGCCTTGTGACTACACTGAA